TTTGGAAGCAAGAAATGCTGTATTTTTCAGGTATAATTCTTGCCCTTTCCCTTTACAATCCACTGAATGGCAGAGAGATTCATTTACGGATGTTTCTACTAACAGGAACATAATTGTTAAGAAACTGCAGGTGCCACTAGAAGGTTTTTGGCCTTGAAATAAGATAAGGCCATGCATTTCCAATCCCCTTCTCGCTAAAAGGAGGCTATTAAAAGCCTGCTGTTAGTCTATTAGGTAGACTAACAAAAAGTCTCCATGGCACCAAAGAAGAGAACAAAGTTTTCTTTAAATAAAATAAGATTCCTACAGGACGGTAGTAATTAGTTCATTGTGAACATTCACAACATGGCCTCTTTTCTCTCCCTCCTCCTGGAGTGCCTGATAAAATCATGAAAACCTCAGCTTCGAGTTTTAAATTACTTGCTAAAGTAAAATGTGGACTGGAATTCTGAATCTATGGTCACCGAATCTGAATCATGCCTAGGCATTGTCAAAATGGACAAGTGGCTGATGGTTGCAAGCTCGTAGTGCTGTCACTAAGAAGACACCATGCAGCTATTGCATCTTTCCCTTCATAACAAATTTTCAGTGGTAAGAAAAAAGGAGGGAAATCCAGCATTGAATAATATGGGTCACAAATGAAAGATGTCACCTAGCTCCCTGGTTAAATTCCATGAATGAGTTTGGGTAATTGCACAATGGAGGTCCCATCTGGAAGCTTGCTAAATATAAATCTAAAACTGTCATGGAGGCAGCTGGGAAGCCTATTTTCTGTTAGGGAAAACTACCCTAAATATAACAGAGCATCCAAAAATCAAACATGATACAAAAGTTGAGGATTCAGCTCATTCGCGAGCAAAGCATGAAGTGCTGTTGGTTGTGGCTATAAAGAATTTAGAGCTTAGGCGGACAAAGATGCAAAGTCCAATCTTAAAAATCACAAAAGGTTTATTTACAATAATAAAGAATAACTGCACTTCTTAATAGTTAAATAACTAGGTCTGAGCTACTCTTAACACCCATCTCTTCTAAGGCTTCAAAATGAGGGGGGGGGGACACACCAATCACTACATCTTTCCTGACACACAAGCAGAGAGAGATCTCAAAGCACACAGCACATACTCAGATGTAAGAAACAGAAGTCAGATTTTTAAAAGGCTTGGAATAGAAAAGTATCCATTCTACATAACCAATCAGAATGAGAGTAAAAACAAAAAGGAGAGATGAAATTAAATACATTCCCAGCTGTCATACATGAGACATGGAGGAAGGGAAACCTTTAGTCTATACTAAACTAGCTAAACAGTTCCTCATTGAGGACTTGAGACTTGGGCAGTGTGGGGTTGAATTCCAACATTTTCAATAATGAGTCATGCCACTCCCATATCATTTTAGAGATGTTGTGTTTAACCCTGCAATTCCCATCTTCAGTATGATCACAGAATTAGCATGTTGTAGTGGTTTCAGTGTTGGACCATTGGTTGAATTCCCACCCAAGGAAACCTGCTGGGTGACTTTGGCCAAGTCACACTCCTTCAGCCCCAGAAGAATGCAATGGCAAACAATTCTTGGCAAGAATAAATATTCCTAAGAAAACTGCGGTAGGGTTACATCAACTGTAATCAACTTGAAGACACACGACAATAGCAATGTGCTGCAGGAAATGTATGTTTTGATGCCAAGCTCACTTTTTCACCTTGAGTGGTATTTGAGCAATAGCAAAATACCATCATAGAACCATTTTCTAGAATGTAATTGTCACAGTCTATTACTTTGCACATCAGAATTTGCTTTGAGTTCATGGTCATCACCCAACATATTCTTTGTTTTAAGGCTTTGTTCCTGGTATCAACGGGTGTATCTACGCTATAGAATTAATACAGTTTGACATCACTTTAATTGCCATGACAGTTGGAGTTTTACAAGAATCGTAGTCTTCTCTGCCAAAGAGTGATGGTGCCTCACCAAATTACAAATTCCAGAATTCCATAGTTTTGAGCAATGGCAGTTAAGGTGGTGTCAAACTGACTTAATTCTATATTCATCCAGAGTCAGTCGATTGTGGCCCGTAATAGCTGGTGCTATAATGAATAAGATAGCTTTAACAATACATCATATTCCTTTGTTCTTTGCTGACATTTAATGGAAGCCACCAAGAAATATTTATGCAAAGGTCCGAGAGGCATTGCATTGATCTCTAGGCATTTTGAAGATTTTTAAAAAATATTTGTCTGTTCCTGATTTGGGCTCTGTGGTTCCAGATCAGTGATTCCCAAATGCTAGTCCTCAAGCATTATGGACTTCAGCATCCAGAAGGCTCAGTTGCTTTGGTCAATGATCAGGTCTTCTGGGAGCTGACATCCAAAATACTTGGAAGACCAGAGTTTGGGAAACACTCTCCCAGGTCAAGGGCTAGAGCAGTGGTTCTTAACCTGTCCCCATGTGCTTTCACCTACAACTCCTAGAAATCCCAGCCAGTTTACCAGTTGTTAGGATTTCTGGGAGTTGAAGGCCAAAACAGCCTGGAACGGAAAACATAGGGAAATAATTTACCATAACACATTTGAATTTGAGCCCTCTGAATCCTTTAATTTCACAGAAAAGCAGGATGAGGAAGCATTAGAACCAACACCTTTCTGCTTCCTTGTAACTCTCAGTACATGTTTTTGCTATGGTTCAAGGGAGAGATGGGTTACGTGTCTTGGACTATAGGGAACCATCTCCTCGGATACCCAAAAAAGTTTCCCCAAAAATAAGATCTAACTTGAAATTATGCCCTAGAATGACTTTTCAGGACGCTCACTCATAATATAAAATAGTATTAATATATAATTAAACATTAATAATATTGACATAATATTATAATGTTCCAGAAGCTTACTGGCTGTTAGGAATTGTGGGAGTTGAAGTCCAAAACGCCTGGAGGGCAAAGATTGCCCATGCGTGCCCTTTAATTTCATGGGAAAGTGGAATATGGAGGATCTGGAACAGGTATGACCTTCCCAAGCCACTTCCCTGCCATTTCCTCTCCTTCATCTTTTTTTTCGGGGGTAGAAAGTAAAGGAAAGACGGGAAACATTTGGATCCCAAAGGGTTAGCATTTGTCAAGATGAGATAGTGGATGGGAGAGAACAAGTGTATCCATTAGACCCATACTCATGATATAGAATCTAAGAATCCTAGAGCTAGACGAGACCCCCCAAGGGCCACCCAGTTCAACCTCCCTGCCATGCAAGAAGGCACAATCAAAGCGCTCCCAATAGACAACCTCTGTGGAAAAGCCTCCAGAAAAGGAGACTCCACCATACTCTGAAGCAGTCTACGCCATTCTCCAACAGCTCTTACGCTCTGAAAGTTCTTCCTAATCTTTTCAGTCAATTCCCTTTCCCTGCCGTTAGAAACCCTTGCTCCCTTATGCCCTGGTCTCTAGAGCAGCAGAAAGTCAGTTTTCCCTTTCCTCCTCCTCAATGGGACACCCTTTAAATCTTGAAACATGGTTCTCATGTTCCCTCTAAACATCCCCCAACAGGAAAGGAGAAAGGAAAAACAGAAGGGAGGGAGGGAGGGAAGGAAGGGAGGGAGTGAAGGGAGAAGGAAGGAAAGATGGAAGGAGGGAAGGAAGGAGAAAGAGAGAGTGAAGGAGGRAGGAAAGAGGGAAGGAAGGAAGGAAGGAAGGAAGGAAGGAAGGAAGGAAGGAAGGAAGGAAGGAAGGAAGGAAGGAAGGAAGGGGAAAGAGGGCGGTAAGGGAGGGAGGGAAGGAGGGAGGAAAGAGGGAAGGAAGAAAGGATAAAACGGAGGGAGGGAAGGAAGGAAGGAAGGAAGGAAGGAGAAAGAGGGAGGGAAGGAGGAAGGAAAGAGAGAAGAAAAGAAAAACAAAAGGGAAGGGAGGAAGGAGGAACACAGAGAGGGAAGGAGGGAGGAAAGAGAGAGGGAGGGAGGAAAAGGAGGAAGGACAGAAGGAGAAATAGGGAGGTAAGAAAGTGAGGGAAGGAGGAAAGAGAGAAGGAAGGAAAGACAAATGGGAAGGAAGGAAGGAGGGAGAGAGGGGGGAGGAGGGAGGGAAGGAAGGAGAGAAGTAAGGAGGGAGGGAGAAAGGGAAAGGGAGGGAGGGAAGGAGAAGGGAAAGAGAGAAAGAAGAAGGAAGGATAGGATGGTGTGAGAGAGGAGGGCCTGAGAAAAAGAACCCGAGGGGCCATATCTGGCTTGGGTTTGCCTGTTTCTGGTCTGGAATCCACTGGTCAATTTCCTTGTGCCTCTCAGTACATCTTTCTGCTCTTTTTCAAGAAGGAGATAAGCTACATGTCTGTGACTAAGGTGGGATCATCTCCTTGGATACAAGTGGAAGGAAAAGCAGCCTGGAACAGAAATAATTCACCAGGACAAACGTGTTGAGGACTTGAGCCGCTGAACCCTTTAATCTCACTGGAAAGCATGACGGTGAGGAACTAGCACCAATAGTCGTCAGCTTCCTTGTGCCTTTCAGTAGATTTCTGCTATGGTTCAAGAGAGAAGCCTGGCTATGGTGGTTCCATTTCCTTGGACACTAATGGAAGGAGAATCATCCTGGGAAAGAAAGCATAGGGAAATAATTCACTTTGACAGATTCAAATGTGTTCCTGTGGAACCCTTTAATTTCACAGAAAGTAGGATGGGGAAGTTTGGGAAGATCTAGAACCAACAGTCATCATCTTCTTCAGTACATGTTCAAGAGAGAGATGTGCCACATGCCTTTGATGAAGGTCAGAGCATTTTGGATACGGTGAAAGGTGAAACGGCCTGGAAGAAAAAGTGTTGGGAAATAATTCACTGTGACACATTTGAACCTGAGCCCTCTGAATTCTAATTTCATTCGAAAGTGTGATGTGGAAAATCTATAACAGGAGTGGGCAAACTTGGGCCCTCCAGGTGTTTTGGACTCCAATTCTCACCATTCCCAACAGCCTCAGGCTCTTTCCTTTCCCCCCTCAGCAGCAGCTGAGGGGAAAAGGAAGGGGGCTGAGGCTGTTAGGAATGGTGAGAATTGGAGTCCAAAACACTTGGAGGGTCCAAGTTTGCCCAGGCCTGATCTACAATCGACAGTCATTGGCCTCCTTGTGCCTCTCAGTACATGTTTCTGTTCTGTATGCTTCATGAGAGAGAGCGTCTACAGGCCTTGGACTAAGGCTGTTTGTGTCCTCCTGGCTTGAAAGGGAAGCAAGAGAGACCAACAAGATGCTTCTCTCTGTCCCCAGCCTAAGCTCCTCTTCCTTCCTTGGCTCTGCTGCTCAGGCAGTCTCCTTCAATGCAAGTCCCTCACTGACAGGGCGCTTCTCCGCTGTTGTTGTTGGCAGCGGCACTGTTCCCTTCACCCTCGAAGAGCTTCTGAGGACTCTCAGCCAGCAGGGCGGCGCGCACTTTCCGCTTCTCCTTGAAGCGCCCCGAGCGGGAGATCTTGAGGTTCCTCCGGCTCCCACTCCCCACGCCGGGCTGCTGGCCCTCCCGGGCTTCTGAGGGGCTGGGCGGGCAAGGCGGTGGTGCCTCCGAGACCTCAGAGGAAGGCGGCCAAGAAGAGCCGGATGCAGCCGTCGAGAGTGCCTCCTTGGTCTTTTTCCGGCTGGTCAGCGATTTCCACCAGGTGCCCGAGGAACCACTGCTGCCACCTCCTCCTCTGGCTCCGGGCCCAGGTGGTGAAGCAGCAGTGCGGGCTCCTTCGGCCATCTTTTGTGGGCTACTCTGGTGTAGGCCCAGGCAGCCAAGGCTGGAGTCCTGCAGCAAAAGGAGAAATAGGTCGTGCACTTAGAGAAGGTTCCCAATGTAAGGACAGTTTGATTCTCAATTGGGACCATTCGATAATGCTTTGTTTACATTTGATATGGTTCTTTAAGAAGGCTTATATAGAATCATAGAGTTGGGAGAGACCTCAAGGTGCAGGTTATGTATGACCTGCAAAGCCCTAAATGGTTCGGGCCCCACCAATCTTCATGACCACATCTTCCCTTATGAACTGGTGCGGGCTCTAAGATCTACTGGGGAGGCCCTCCTCTTGCTTCCACCACTATCACAAGCACGGCTGTTGGGGACAAAGAAAAGTGCCTTCTCGGTGGTGGCCCCTCGACTTTGGAACACCCTCCCCAGGGAGATTAGGCAAGTCCCCACTCTGTCCTCCGTTTGTAAGGATCTGAGAACTTGGATGTTCCAGAAAATCATAGAATCACTGAGTTGGAAGAGACCTCGTGGGCCATCCAGTCCAACCCCCTGCCAAGGAGCAGGAAAATCCCATTCAAAGCACTCCCAACAGATGGCCATCCAGCCTCTGTTTAAAAGTATCCACCACACTCCAGGGCAGAGAGTTCCACTGCTGAACAGCTCTCACAGTGAGGAAGTTCTTCCTAATGTTCAGGTGACCATTTGAGCCCCTAGCAGCTACCAGTTTTTGACAGCCCATCTATGCTGCCTTTCAGCTGAGCCGCAAATGGCTAAGTGATCGGTGCAACTGCTGATGACATATGCTGAACTCAGCACAGAGAGTTCCACTGCTGAACAGCTCTCACAGTTAGGAAGCTCTTCCTAATGTCCAAGTAGAATTTCCCTTCCTGCAGTTTGAAGCCATTGTTCCGCGTCTTAGTCTTCAGGGCAGCAGAAACAAAGCCTGCCTCATCCTCCCTATGACTTCTTCTCACATGGCTATCGTGTCTCCTCTCAGCCTTCTCTTCTTCAGGCTAAGCATGCCCAGCTCTTAAAGCCGCTTTTCATAGGGCTTGTTCATTGCTAAAATGTGTTAGGTTAACACATCAAGCAAACAAAAATGGTCTGTCTACAATTTTAGGCATGTTAATACTGCCTTTGTTCCTCATCTGGTTAACACTCAGACTACCATTTGAGCCCCTAGCAGCTACCAGTTTCTGACAGCCCATCTATGCTGCCTTACAGCTAAACCACAAATGGCTAAGTGATCTGTGCAACTGCTGATGACATATGCTGAACTCAGCACAGATCTGCTTTTGGCAGTTTGACAGAGAGTTCCACTGCTGAACAGTTCTCACAGTCAGGAAGTTCTTCCTAATGTTGAGGTAGAATTGAAGCCATTGTTTCGCATCCTAGTCTCCAGGGCAGCAGAAAACAAGCTTGCTCCCTCCTCCCTATGACTTTTCCTCACATGACCATCACGTCTCCTCTCAGCCTTCTCTTCTGCAGGCTAAGCATGCCCAGCTCTTTAAGCCGCTCCTCATGGGGCTTGTTCTCCAGACTCTTGATCATTTTAGTCACTCTCCTCTGGACACATTCCAGCTTGTCAACATTTCCTTTCAATTGTGGTACCCAGAACTAGACATACACCTATCAACTAGACACCTATGCTTGTAAATGTTCAGTCAAATCTGACCAAATCTACTGTATAACAGAATCTTCACACTCATAATATAATAATAATAATAATAATAATAATAATAATAATAATAATGTCTGTTTCAAAATGATAATTATCTTTTATGAAATTAAAATGGATGTGGCTCTTAAAGAGTCATGCCGCATTATCACAGACTGTCTATGCCCCACAACACTGGAGAAATTATACTGTTTAGCTGGTACTGCACCAACTGACATCTGTCTAGAAGTAGAAACCAGCAATGAAAGGACCACAGCAGTGACATCTCCGGCCCATGCTCTGTTCAGATAACAACCAGCACGCCAATGCCTTAAATCAAGAAACAGTTTCCTAAGATCTACAGAAATACTTGCAGGTACATTTCAGCAAGCAAGAATCCAAAAGTGGCAGGTGAAAACCCAGCGCCTTAATCAGTGGCTGAGACCGGATGAGAAACTCCCTCCTGGGCACACAGAAGAGTGGATGACCTGGAAGGTGCTGAACAGACTGCGCTCTGGCACCATAAGATGCAGAGCCAACCTTAAAAAATAAGGCTATAAAGTAGAGTCCATGACATGCGAGTGCAGAGAAAAGCAATTACAATGCAATCTGAGCCTGCCAAATGCACAATGGAGGACCTTCTCACAGTGACACCAGGGGCACTCCAAGTATCCAGCTTCTGGTCAAAGGACATTTAGCATAATGCCAAGTTCTTTTTTTAAAAAAGCTTTGTTTGTGTTTTTAAATACATTTTAACTGTACCTTCAACTTGCTTCTAACAAGGTAAATAAATAACCCTCATTCTTAATGATGAGTTGTTTGTAAGTCAGATGTTTGTGACTCAGGACTGCCTATTTCCAGAAGTGAATTCCTCTTCACCTGGACGAAGCCTAAAAGGTCTAAACAAGTTTCCAAGGAACAATTTCAAAAAGGACAAATGTAAAATACTACAATGTATTGTCGAAGGCTTTCGTAGCCAGAATCACGGGGTTGTTGCAGGTTTTTTCGGGCTATATGGCCATGGTCTAGCGGCATTATCTCCTGACGTTTCGCCTGCATCTATGGCAAGCATCCTCAGAGGTAGTGAGGTCACTACCTCTGAGGATGCTTGCCATAGATGCAGGCGAAACGTCAGGAGAGAATGTCTCTAAACCATGGCCATATAGCCCGAAAAAACCTACAACAACTAAGATACAACATTTAGGCAGAAAGAATGAAATGCAAAGATACAGGATGGGTGAGGCCTGGCTTGATAACAGTTCCTGTGAGAAAGATCTTGATGTCCTTGTGGAGAACAAGTTGAACATGGGCCAACAGTGTGATGCAGCAGCTTTAAAAAGCCAATGGGATATTGGTCTGCATCAAAAGGGGTATAGTGTCTAGATCAGCCATTTTCAAACTGTGGGTCCCCAGCGGTTTTGACCTACAACTCCCAAACATCCCAGTCGGTTTACCAGCTGTTAGGATTTCTGGGAGTTGAAGGCCAAAACATCTGAGGATCCACCAGTTGAGAACCACTGGTCTAGATTGAGGGAAGTTATGGTACCTTTGTATTTCGCTTTGGTTAGACCTCACCTGGAATACTGTGCCCAAATCTGGGCACCACAGTTCCAAAGAGACATTGACAAGCTGGAATGTGTCCAGAGGAGGGCAACTAAAATGATCACAGCTCTGGTGATCAGGCCCTCTGAGAAGCGTCTTAAAGAACTGGATATGTTTAGCCTGCAGAAGAGAAGGTTGAGCAGAGACATGATAGCCATGTACAAATAAGTGAAAGGGTGTCATAAGGAAGAGGGAGCAGACTTGTTTTCTGCTGCCCTTGAAGCTAGGACTAGGAGCAATGGGTTCAAATTACCGGAAAGGAGATTCTACCTGAACATTAGGAAGAACGTCCTGACCGTAAGATTTGTTCAACAGTGGAACTCTCTGCCTTGGAGTGTGTTGGAAGCTCCTTCCTTGGAAACTTTTAAACAGAGGTTGAATGGCCATCTTTCAGGCCTACTTTGTGCTTTTCCTGCTTGGCAGGGGGTTTGGCTAGATGGCCCGTGTAATCTCTTCCAACTCTATTATTCTATGATTATGTGAAGGAGAAAAATAAAAGGACAAATTGATTTGAGTCATCTGCAGCGAATTCAGGGACCTCATCACAATACAGCATAGATCCACTTTAAACCCGGTTTCTGCCTCGTGCAGAATTTTGGGGCTTGTAGTTTAGGAAGGGACCTTTAAATTGCTCATCCAATCAGGCCCTGGGACTCCCTAGACTACAAACCCCATAATTCTGTATGAGGCAGAAAGCAGATTTAAAGTGGATCCATGCTCTGGTGTGATGAAGCTATCAGGGTAACTGAGGTGTCCAACTTCATTGCGTGTCTTTGGTGAGAAGAAGTGAGAATATCCTGTCACCTTAACTGGTACTGTTTCATTATTCAGACACAGTGAAGACATCTGTCCTTGTCCTTTGCTACTCTGCTGAATACACATTTCATGTTGCTGACATACTTTTTAGACATGCATCATTTTCCAACACAGTAATTCAGTTTTACTAAGTATAGGTTAAACTATCACCCTAATAAAAGATATGGACACACATTTAAACTGTATAATGAAATCTATAGGGACACAACATCTCATGAAAACCTTTATGTATATATATATTAAATTATATGATTTATTGCTTATTTTACATAAGCTGAATTTTTGTCATTACAATCACACAACACAGTTACACATTGCTGCCGGCACACTAATGTGTCACAAGATAGTCTGGAAAGTCACATAGATAAAAAAAAACCTGTTGGATCGATATATCCTAGAAACTGGTGGGGTGAATAAGCCCTAGAAGCCAGCGAGATGGGTAGATTCTAGAAACTGGTGGGGTGGGCAGATCCTAGAAACTGGTGGGTGGGTAGATCCTAGAAACTATTGTGGTGGATAGATCCCAGAGATCAGTGGGGTGGGCAGATCCTAGAAACTGGTGGCTGGGCTGATCCTAGAAACTGGTGGGTGGGTGGGTAGATCCTAGAAACTCGTGTGCTGGATAGATCCTAGAGATCAGTGGGGTGGGCAGATCCTAGAAACTGGTGGGTGGGTTGATCCTAGAAACTGGTGTGGTGGGTAGATGTTAGGTTTGAGGATAGGGCTGGTAACATCTTCAGCCAGCGTGGAGTGGCTGAAAAGTTGGGTTAGGACTTCAGGAGGCTACAGTCTGAATCCCTATCCATCCATGGAACCTCAACAATTGAGCTTCAGCAAGTCACAGCCTCTGCAACACAAAGAGAGACAATGGCAAACACCCTCTGAACAAATCTGGCCAAGAAAATCCTCTGATCTAGTCACCAAAAGTAGGAAAAGACTTCAAGTCACATAACAACGACACATGAGGTAACAGTGCTAGCCCATG